GACGCATTTGTTTCGATACAATATGATATAATAATTTCAAATATAATTTGGAGGTAACCTAAGGGGCTATAAAAGAGACGGTAACATAAAATCACATTTCCTCAATCCATAGTACATAAAAAGGATGCTAGACATGTAAAAAATGTTTCTGTAGTGTATAGAGGATGGAATTTATCCATACAGAGAAGCTAAGAGGCAAAAAAGCCTCCTGAAAATAAGAATTCCCCAGACAGTTTTAATCCCGAAAACCTAACCTACGCAAAGACGGTCATTTTTATGGAAATTAATGATTTCAGATAGTATCATAATATGATTAGAAGCACCAGTGAACTACACCGTGTAAGCTTGACTTAACTTATCGAAATATAAGGTTAAACTTTACAGAATAAGCGGACGGCAACGTTTGGTCAAAAAGGCGGTAGTGCAAAGGGGTTTAATCGGTGAATTTTAGTGGCGGTGGTTAGCATGCGAACGCTCGAACGGACAAAGACAAGAAAACAAATGACCTGTCTAGTAGTACGTCCACTTGAGTAGCCAGTATCTTTTTATTGTTGCTGTAACTATACTGAGTTTTGCACTTGGAACTAACTCGGTGCCGTTAATTACGGAATGCGCTTTTTAAACGCTATTAGCGCTAAAGTTCAGAGGTGTGTATGCAGACACAGAGTCGTAATTTCAAACCTGTACGTTTTACCTAAGTCATATGACCTGCAAAGCCTAGGCTACAATTTTACGGATTCAATAATGAGGAATATCCCCTCCCTGACAAGTAAAAACACCCATAGACATTGCCCCATATTTCTAACTGGCCCCCAAAGTTCGAAACCAGTTTCTTATGGCTATTAAACGTTAGTAATTCCAATGCTCTAATCAGTGAGCCATGGGCTCTTTGGCCTGTCAGTTGCAATCGGGAACATTAACAGGATTGAAGATAGCTGAAGGCATTTCCAACATAATTAATACTACGCACAGACATAAGATGAATTGCGCCATTGTGGTCTTGGTCCACGCCCTTAATCAATATTGAAAATAAGAGAAGCATTTTCTCTGGAAAAGTGACGCAAAGTCGAAATGTATCGTCTTCACCTTACCTTACGCAGCATCCGGGACATTTCAACTTTGGGGATATGTGTGTAGGAGGAGATCTCGCGAACAATATCTGAGTTCAGGGGTAGGTTCTAGAGTTGGTGAAAGTAGACATGAAAATAAAGCATATTGAGACAGGAAAAACGAAATACTTTCAGCGGATAGAAAAACTTTAGAGGAGAGAGCGATACCTCCATGCACAAAAGGTGGCCCCTTAAAGGTCTAAACACAGGGGTACGCCACTTGCTATTCCACGTTTCTGCTCATTTGTAGTTAAAAACAAACTACTTAACTAGTACTGCTTGTACCTACTTATTATTTTTATTCTGGTAATATTTTACTGAAGAAAAACATGGGGTTTGTTTTATATATATATAACTCTGTTACATTAAATGCTGCCTTATTTTAATTAAACGTTCATCCCGGTCGTAATTCTGGTGCGGGCACTATGCAGCTTAAATATTTTTTCTGAAAAATAAGATCCGGGTTTGACTATTTTAGACTTCTGAAGTGAGCAGGGAAGTGCCGACCTGCAGAGACAAACATAAACCCAAAAGTTTCAATAGAGTTATGTTAAGGAAGCTTAAGGGTTGTGATATGTGGCTCTGAGGGACTTTACCGTTAACATTAAAACAAATGGATCCGGTTACAGTAGAGGCTGGCTGGCAAACAAAATTATTCACTGCCTACTGGTGCGGAAAGTCGCCAATTGACGAGATAACTTGGTCCTACTCGGGGTATCGGTTAAGCCATAATGGTTCATTTTTTATTTGGCTTTTAGAGAGACCTGAGTACGCTCCGCGGGGAGTTAGAAAGCCAGTTCACATGTGTAGCACCTAAATGAACTCTTCAGTTTCGTCGGCAACTGCGCTCGCGCACGTATGCGGCCATCTTGACTTTGTTTAGTCATCGAAACACGAAGGGTGTGAAAACGGCGTGAAGTATATGCTTCAAAAGTCTACCTGACCGTATAAAAATTCACGCGAAGGCCACCCGGGCTCATCTCCGGAACAGTGGTGGTCTACGGCGCTTGCAACGAAGGTGTTATGCGGCAAAATGGGTGAGGTAACCTACGTGTTTCACGTCCAGCAGGAGATCGATAGGTCCCAAGTCTTCTCCCATTACCCAGGGATGGTTGCAAAGTTCTTGCATATTTATGCGTTTTTCTGGATCAACGCAAAGCAGGCGAGAGAGGAGATGACGGCTTGACTTGCTCAAACTCTCATCTACAGCGTACTTGCCTTTCTGAAAATAAAAAAATAGGAGTCGAGTTAGTTGACACTTCTCGTGATGTTAGCAAAACAAAAACGCAGTCAAAATGTGAGGTAAGTAAAATGGCGTGTATGGAGGGATTAAAAGCAGTCTAAGTAGAACCTGTAGCCATTGCAGTCAAAGCAAGTAAAAATAAGTAAGCAAAGTAGATTAAAAAATTAGAATTCACCGAAGGACATATGACGGGATCATCATCAAACCAATCGCCGAGAGAGGGAAATTACAATGAGGAAGATACTTGTAGGCTTTGGCATTCACGCAGAAAGGCCTTTTTACGTAAACTTTGACGATTGTATCACAAAAAAACAACAACTGCAAGGTTATATCTCCTCGTGTTCAACATAAAGAAAAAAATCACGACTTAGTTAGGGGAAGGGTTCAATAATATCAACTCAAAGCATGAATTGGCCAGAATACACTCTAATTTGCACTTAATTCACTACGGCCAAAATTTTTGCTTTGTATGATTTTCAGGAAGTCGTAGAAACATCAAACAAAAATTTTAGCAGTCAAATCCTAAGCTGAATCAAATAGTAAGGAAAAAGGCTTTGCAGGCCAGTCCATTCTATAGAAAACTGACCAGGCAACAGCCATAGGGGGAATTCCGGCCAACAAGGTCATAGCTTGCTGGAACCCAAAGGTTGGGGAACAGTAAATCGCGGTATTGACGTAAGGTTACCCCACTTATTGGGCCACTATTCGGCAGGCCTATTTGGGGACAGCACCGCTTACCTCCTCGCGGAAGAAGTGCTAGAAAACGTACCCTAAACGAATGCTGCATCTCGCGTCTTCTGTAGCAGACCATGGCTCGCAGACTGCAAAACTCATGGGCGAAACGACCAAACAAACAAACGCCTACCCCCACCGTACGTTCCGGTCTGCTAAAATGAATGTGCCTATGCTAGCAGTCTGAAATGTTCGTTTCCCTTTAAACAATCTGAGGAACAATCGGCCAGAATTGAGAACACCGCTAGTCGCCAGGAAACTGGTGCGCCACTAGGTGGACACCGTTGCTCTCAACGAGAGCCAATTCTCTGAACAGGGTCAGTTGGAGGTGGGTGCCGACTACACCTTCTTCTGGAGCGGCCACCCACAGAGGAAACGATGCAAAGCCGGTGTCGGATTTGC